AGCACCAACCATTCTAGAATATAATATTAATGAACGCATATTTTTTGAGAAATTTATTGTACCAGTTAATGTTTTGTATTCTGAATACATTATACTATAGTTAGAATTTCTACCTAAAGAACAATGCATAAATACAGGAGATAAATATATTCTTTTTTCTAAAGGTACCGCTTGAATTTCATTTGGAATAGGATAAAAAAATGGAAATATATATCTTTTTATAGGATTTTTACACGATAAATATATAGCAATACGTTTGAGAGGTTTAACATGAAATGTTAATAGTAATTCAGATTGTTTTTCAGGATATGCTTGTAAAAGAGGATAAAATAAAGTTTCATCATAATTTAGCCATGCACATTTTTCAGGATACATTAAACGTCCATAAAATACACATGCAACACAAATGAATTAATTTAAAATATTTAAATTGAATTAGTTTGAAGATTTAAAAATTTTGCACTTGGTATCCAAGGATTAATAGGTAAATAAGTTGAAATAATAGGAGAAAGAATTAGTCTAGAATTTGCAATCTGACATGATTATAATTGATTTTGCAATTCTTTTAACATATTTTCAGAATTATTTTGATAATTTAATGATAATTCAAATGAAAGGCTTGTATCAAAAATATAATGTTGATATATATAAAAAGATATAATTTTTATTTTTTTTTAAAAAATAAAAAAGTGTACAGAGAAATTATTTCATATATATATTATTTTTTAAAACCTTTAAATTAAAATGCTCTAAAAGTGCAGATCATATTAAAATTATAAATTCACACTTTACTTCTATTACGATACCAATTTCACTCTAAACTAAATCTCCGCCTTCAAATTTTCCAAAGATCACAATTACGTAAAATCCATATTTGCAATCATGTTTGTCTTTATGAGGATTAGTGGCACCTTGTTTTATTGAATTTAATTCATCATTTTTATCCGTAATGCTTAAATTTATAGCAAAACTTTTGAAAATTGACAAATTGGTTTTAATACCTGGTAATTCGATATTAAAATCATTATAAAGTTCTGAAAAATTTAATCGAATTAAATTTTAATCAAAGATTCCAAATTCACGATTAACAGAAATAATATTTTTTTTAAATAAAGATAATATTCAAAGGTATTTTTCAATTTTAATACCTTTTGAAAATGTTCGAGTTTAATATCAGATATGATATTAAATTTCTTATTATCTTTAAAATTATTGAACAAAATATTGCTTTTCCTTTTAATATTTACAAAATCAATTGAATGATTTTGCATGTATTCACGTATAAATTCAGCTATGTGACAACATTTTTCATCCTTATTTAGTAATATATATTTATTATGTCCCAGCATTATTATATAACCTCCATATATCATAAATATGTGTCATAAATTTTTAATGGAAAAAATTGTCTTAATTACATCTTTAAAATTATTTGCAAAAAAATTTAATTTAGTATTAAGAATTTTAAACAATTGATTTCTTTGATCTGAAAAAAAACTTGTTTCATCAAAAAAGTTTTTTACGACCAATCCTAATACATATAATTTATTATTTATTAATTGATAAATAAAACAATTTTTTGTATTATTCATTTTAAAATAATTTTGTATAGGATATTTATCAATGTTGAAATTATTTGTTTTAATTTTCTCTTATAATCCCTTAATGTTATTATTAATATTTAAAGGAATTACGAAACTAACATCAAATTCTTAAACCTTTTGATTATATTTTTTGATTGATCTTTGATTATTTTTATTCAAAGATCTAGAAGAGGTAGAGGAGAATGCAGAGGTAGGTGCA